ACTTCCATCAGCGAGATTGACCTTTCAGGACGAAAAAAAATAATAACTCATTGTTTATCATTCATCATATCGATTTTTTTTTTTTTTTTTTGACAAAGTTATAATGCAGTTGAGCACTGAAGTGGAATGCTGGACTTTCAAAGATGTTGAGACATAAGAGTTTCCTCGACTGGGATATCCGGATGCTCCAGGGAGTGAAGAGTTTTCCGTAAACTTCCTGGACTTGAGAAACGTAAATCCATGTGTCCCCGAGGTAAGTGTAACCTTCCCGCCCTATTCTCAACCTCATCGCGTGGATCTGTCCTTCTCTCGAGTTCGTGTCAACGTGAATCTATTTCTTACCTGTCGGCTATTTTTGGCGCAGACCAGGGTAAAATGAAAAAGTTGGTCGGTTCAGAAGACGTCACGAGAACAAAAGGTTTCTGGTGAAAAGTTTATCTATATGGGGTGCTTCATCCTTGATGCTCATGTCAATGGGCAGAAAGAAAAAGCCAGGACGACTGAAGTTGGGGAGTTGATATTTTTGTTTTGCTTTTATTTTTTTATTCGAGACCCGGGACTTTTCATTTCTCTTTTCGTTTAATTCGTCTGGCCGCTCCAAGTGAATGTGCCGGACGATGAAAGTTGTGAAAGTTGACAGAGGCCAATGCAGTCTCGTATGTACGGTTGGGTTAATCGGAATGGGATATTTCGTTTAGAAACTGGAAAGATTACCATTTTTTCGAAACAATTTCGTCAACTTTCCGAGTAGAAAGTAATGTCGCATGTTTCACAATAAAAATCTTTACTCTTCATCGAGATTTCACTGCTGTCACTCATATGACCTCCAATTGCCCTTCGCAACGCACAAAAGGTCACGTCCTGACGCGAAATGACCGTCACACGACCTTGATGTTCCCTGACCTTCCGATGACCTTTCCCGATTCACCTGATCCTTTCGTAAATCATCCTAAACGACCGGTTTACGCCCTTCGTATGACCGCATTAGAACCTCCACGACCTTCACACGACCGCACCAGAACCTCCACGACCTTCACACGGCCTCCCTACACCCCCCACAACCTCCAGATGACCTTCATAACGAATTCCCTTCAGAAATGTTGCACCAACTGCATATGACCCTCGAATAAACAAGACTGAGAACCTAATCCACCGAAAATTCAAACCCTTCAGCACAAACAATTGAATTTCCCCGGGGTTACGGAATAAATAGCTCATTTGTGTCTGGAATAGAGGATTATTCAGATACGAGTGAATAGTTTATTCAGATTTCTCACATTGCCTTGACTGAAACAAATGACACATTCATAGTAGTGTGCGCTGGCCATGCCACTGGACTAAGGTCATAGCCATGAATAGGGTACCGCAGGCATCGGAGTAATCGTGTCTCCAACGGTTTGCATAATAGGCGCGTCACGTTAACCACACGATCCTACGCTGGATTAGGAATCTCCATCGATCCGTGGGCTGTACTTGTTGGTGAGGGGTGAGAGAAACGTCCAACGTGAAGGTACAGACCTCCAGGTTGCTTATTATTATGCCATAACGGTCTCAACACGAGCATGGATCATTGCGTCCCACTGACCTCAAATCCCCAGACACTCATTTAACTCTGTCGTTTTGGATATTTATCAGTTTCACGCTGTTATAAAAATAAAATGAGTTTTTTTATTTGAATTCTCGTCGATCGGTTTGTGTACGAAAAAATAAATAGAGGCTGCAATGATAAAAAAAAAAAAATAGCAACTCGAACGCGCATTGTGCGGCTGTTATCATTGTGTGAGGGAAGTACCGAAAAATGGATTTCATGAATAAAATTTATAACGATATAGTCAATATTTTATTTTTTAATGCTTTATTCTGTAGTGCAAATGCATATTTACGAATGTTTTATGTATAATAATAATGAATATCTGTATATTTGTAGAAAAATTAGATTAATATTAATATTGTTACTTAAATATTGGAACGTTAAATCAATGAATTAAGACACATTATCACGATCACTGTCACGCACTCACTCTTTATCTGTTCGCGATTGCACTCGGTATTCTGACGATAAAGGAAACTTAGAAATGAACTCGAGTGATACGAGAAGAAAAAGAAAAATAAATAAACACGTGAGGAAAAACTGTTCAGCTTCATCACCTGCTACGTCGTTCAAGTTTTACCGGTCGTAAAGTTGTCGCGTGTATTACCTATATATAATACGACGATATTATCTTACTCGCGCCAGGCGCACGTTGACAAGTTATAATACGTTAGTTGGAACGAGTGTGATCTATTAAACCGGTGTGTAATAAGGCTTTGTACAAATATTACAACGAGTATCGGCGTATGAGTTATTCATGTGACTATTAATGCATCAGAATGCGCAATTTGCATTTGAAAATGAAAGTTGAGGTTGTACAGATTGTCGGTGATCCCGGAGG